TCAAATCTCGCTCTAATTAGAGCTCATCTTCAGTAACCATGTCGGGGCACGATCTGACACATGAGCATGTGTTACACCTTCGCGAATGGGCCCTGAACACATCTGAATTTTCATATATCAACTGGCAAACTTGCTCACACTAGAACTACGTTGTAGTACTGCCAAAAAACTACAGTTTCCAGATCGACGTTTAGGTCGAATTGGATCCTGAGAAGTACTCGCGTGGTATAGGATATGCCAAAGTACACAAGGTGAACGTACGCAACGTGACTAGGTCGAAAGCCGGCAGTCTTGGGGAACCTGGGCACCACAAACTGTATTGATTTTAAGTCTTTCGCTTAAACCGATTAGAAGCAAAAGAACTGAATTCAGAAAGAAATGGACGGTTACCTCTCTATGTCGAAATCAGGCGGTTATTTTCATAATTCTTCCTCGAACGAGCCGGACGATGAATTTTTATAAGTAGCATCCACTCACTTGTACATGGATTTCGGAATTCGCCACATCTCCAGAAAGCCAATAACAAAAACAGCGTACAGTACAGGCGCAACTGAGCATTTGAAATATAATACGGAGACTGGTGAGGACAGGAAATGTTTACCTGAGCAAAGTGAGTTGAATCTCGTCAGGCCAATCAGAGTTCCAGAAGCAAACTACCTGAAAAGAATAGAAAGAATGATGAGTAGAAAACGGGCCTCAAAGTACTACGGTTCACAGTGATGCAAATGTACTTTTGCGCATTCACTTGACACGAATGGAAATGTTTAGACTAAACGGTTTGCCGGAAATTGAGAGTACCTTATACCTTGGGACCTATTCTCCACTGGCTTAACCTTTTAGCATTTGAACCCCTCAGACAGGACACGGTAGCGTGCAGGACACGTTTCCGTCCGCCCTACCATTTAACTACTCAATTTTGCAATGAAGATTTCTTGTTGACAAATAGTTCATACATCACCTAGTACATGAAAAACGAGAGAACCAGCTGGGTTCCAGGTGTGTCTCCCATCAAAACGAAATTCAAATGTAAATCAATCGGCTTACTCATTTATAGAATGAGATGTGCTCATATTGGCCGTTCATCGATGACCCCCAGTAGGTCGATTTGGAGCGCTAGACGAAAATCGACGCTTGAGCACAGCTCA